ATTCGTATGGTTTATTAGTACATTAAAATCATTCAACACTAGCATTGAATACAATAGTTATAGTGAAATTTAATTTCATATAAATAATCTTTCGTAAAAAATTTTTTATTCCCTATTTTTATACCACATTCAATATTTAAAATGACAACGCTGACAGTATCTTGGGTATAGGTACTGCTTCAATGTGCCGCGTTTGATTAGACTCATTGTTTTTTTCTATCATATATTGATTAGCTGTCTTCGGAATATGCTCCATACCAATACCAGATTTTGTTAAAACAAATATTTATTACAATTTTTATATAAAATAAAACCACAATAACTACACAACAACAAAATAGTTTTAAATAAATAAGCTATGTGTACTTTTATTTTAGAAACAATAGCAATTTCTGTTATATGCGTAAAATACCTGTCATTAAGATTCATTAAATAAATTTGTCGACTCAACGTACTAGAATATAATTAATCATAATTATTCTTAAATAAATTATGAGCTTCGGAAATATTTATGGCTTTTCTTCACTATGAAATGACATTTTTTTATAATGAATATAATACTGTTACCCAGATGAATAATTTAATTTCCTAATTCATAAGAATTGTGAAATACTACCGACACAGCAACTTCAATATAACACAATAAATATGTAATCGATATTAGTTTTTGTAAATGAAAAAATCTTAAAAAAGTATTATCAGTTTTGATGTTGATAATTACGCGAATAGATTTAAAAAATCCAACAAATACAGTACAATTCTATTTTCTTTATAAAGTTTGTTTAAATCGATGGTATTAGTACAATGCTTCACTTCCGATGGTCGTAGATTCGATTCGCACGATGCAAACATTTATATTCACGACAATATTTTTTTGTATTGGTCAGGATGTTATTTCTATGTATATTATGTATGCATTTACAAATAAAATGTATTTCTATCAGTTGTCTAGTAACCATAACACATTTTCTGCTTAGCTTGCTACTAGACGTCGGTGTGTGACAATTCACAATGGATATATGTACATATAAAAATAATAAGACTCCAAGACAATTCCAGGGCTTTTATTATTTTTATATATATTTTATTTAGTTAATCTAGTATAATTTTTATTTCAATAGAATTAATTTCATATAACAGGATTGGCAAAATAGTAACTCCTCACTTGACGATAAGTGTGTATAGCCGTGAAGTGGCAGTAATTAGGTTGTGGTTAATAATGAGGACTATTAATCCCATTGGTAGCAATGTCCCATGTCAGCTCTACCTCCACGTTGGCCATCTGGAATCCACCGTGGTTAATTCCTGGTGCATATGTCACAATAATGGGCTAATTGACATGACTTCTTGCTCATCTTTCCGAAGGACTTAAATAGCAAATCTCCATGCACAATTATAAATTTTGTGATATGTTTAATATATTAGGTACTAAATTTATTATGGATGTAATTTTTTTTTAAGTTTCATAATGGCCATTCCATTATCAAATTAAAAAAAAAACAATTCCATCGCCTGCGCTACCGACATACGCTAGCGGGGCATCAATGAAAGATGATAAGATGAGTATGAGGTCAGGTCAGTTAGCCGATAGTGACAAAATCACCAGGAAATTAACATAATGGATTCCAGAGGGAACTGCGTGGAGGTCAACCTGACTTGGTAAATTACTAGTAATGGAGTTATGAATCGACATTACTAACAATCCTTCCCCCCTTATAAATGTATTTACATGTACCGTATTTTAATGAAATGGGTACTACAATAGCTATCGACTAAATGTGACCTCAATAATTGAAATGGTTAGGCCCAAGGTATTGAAATTTTGTAATATTGACTGTGCCACAAGGCTCACAGACGATGAATAAGTTATGGTACGTACTTTAGTATGGGCCTTTACAAACTTAAGTGAGTACATTTAGTTATAAATAAGGTGAAATAATTAATGATGCTAACTAAGTAGCCTGCTCAATAGGTCCCTAGATATTTACTTTTCCACAAATTATCGCAATTCTCTATCGCATACCACAATTGGTATGCGATAGAGAGTGATACACATAATATATATATCTGCTTCAGTTTGATGTACCTATTATTTTCTCTGTTTTGGAATATGAAGAAACTAAAATTTACATATTTGTTATATATCATATACAAATATGTAAATTTTATCTATAATATTAATAAACTAAGATTTATCTTTAAATAATTGTCCAAACTATGTCCCCAGTTTATCTGGGATCGTCTCTCCCTGTACATCTACGCCAGATAACTCTGTTCTGGGTTGTCTGCATAGTAAGGTTTCCTGATCCATCTTAATATTGTTCCACCAAGTGGCGCGTGACCTGCATGTTTCTTTTTGTTTAAAATGGTATTTTATATATCTATACTTTTCATATATATTTTTTAATATGCTCTTGTGTCCGTCTTTACTATTGAGCGTTTTGTGACTTTTGTAAATATGACCATAATATTATTAGATTGATATAGGTATGTAAATACCTATATCAATCTTGAATAATGAACATTATTCACTTATGTATCAAACAGTGAAAGAATTTCTCAATTCGTTACAGTGGGTTACTTTCCTCATAACAAAGTCCGCTCTCTCTTCATAATATTCGTATAGATAAACAATTCAGAATAAATACCTACTTAGTAGTCAACTGTTTAAATATATAAATAAAAACGTGGAAAAGTGAGAATAGAATTCGCGCCCTGAGGGTTTTATGTCGTTACAAGTAAAATTAAAAATTAAATACACAATTTTATGGTCTTTCCTTTGTGTGTCGATTTTTAAAATGCTGAAAAGAATGAAAGTATTTGATACCGGAAGCTACGGAATAAGTAATTATTTTGTGCACAAAACCATACCTGGGCCTACGCATAAAAAATACTGCGAAAGGGGATATTCTACTCTATGTGATTATACCAGCTGACATTGTTTATCGTACGGAAATAAATTATATACATATAAATACTTATCATATGATATTTCCATTCAATCCTATGTACATAACATAGGCGATGATGTTTAAATGAAAAAAAAAACCTTATTTATGTTATATAATTAAGTAAATATAGAAGTTATTTTAATACTGAACCAGTTCGTAGTATTTGTCAAAAAAAATTACTAAGTATACATATTATTTTTGGCAATTAACTAACAAATATAAAACTTTCCCTAAGTTTTTAAGTTATAATCACACCACTCGAGTTAACAAAAACACTTCATAGATATATAAGCGTATATATATATATATGTATAATCGAGACGAATTGCAGTTAATTAAAAAAACACGATTATTTCTGGTTTCCTATAATCAAAAATATATGTATCCATCCGCTTAAGTCATTCAAGGTATTCAAGTAGATTTTAGTGTTTCTTATAATAGATACAAACAATAATATTTTTCATATCATGGGGCTCCTTATAGATATTACTTGACGTTCATCAGCTACTAAAATATTCTAAATGAATAAATGATTTTTATATTTCATTAGTATAACCTGACCTGACATTAGTATAAACTGTATATATAAACATCTTTTTGAGATTTAATTTTTTACCTGGGTTTAATTTGTTCGGCATTTTACATCGTTATCTATTAAAACTTGTATCCACTTAAAATCAATTTTTCCAGCCATATACCAATTAAACAAATGATTGAAATATGACTATTAGTGAATATATTATTACTGACATCATCATTGCATTCTTAATCATTATTACTTTTAAATTCACAAATAATGACTCATGTCGTATAACCGTAAATCAATAATGACATTTGTTCTACGGGTACCTATTATAAAATTTATTCTTAACAAATTATAACGTGATATAGTAACTTTTTCATTAGCTCCAATAGTTTTTTTATGAATGATAATGGAATGGTGGACCCTAAAAGCATATCTTGTCGGGCACCAGAGGTTTCCAGGGAGAACCGCGTGGAGGTGGAAATACGGAACACACTAATAATGCCCTTGTAAGACTCGGTATTTCGAATTTTATGTAATAAGTATATTATTAGTAATATATTAATAAAATCTCAAATATTTCTGTATTACTTGTTTACTACATAGAAGTTCTGCTCACTTTGAGACTAAATGGTTCATTTTATAAAATAAATATTTATATAACAATTATATTATAGACTAAATGTATACAATGATTAATGTTTAATGTAACCACTTAGACTAAAACAACTAATAAATAAATGGAATTATGCAAGACTAAATGGCCCAGAGCAAAACAACTTTAGGGTTAGCTAACCACCTGTTAATTAAAAGTTATCAAATGGCTAGAAGTTATTTAATATTGTGAGTGAAAATTCTGGGTTCACACCCCCAAATTTTATAAATGACCAGATGGGCTTCACCCGGTACAATTTGCTTTTGAAGCAGTTCGAATTGACATTTTACTTTGACTACTTACTAATTTATCTTCTAAATACTATATGGTCTATGTTGAATAATAATCTTATATTATTAATGTTAATTTAAAAATTGTAATGGTTATTGCCATCATAGAATTTATAGAGATTATTATAGGATTTATAGATTATAGAGATATCAAAATAGAGGTGAGGTTATTTCAATTTAGGATTTCTGTGAATTAATAATAAATTCTTGCAGTATTATATATACTTTAATATTTCTAAGAAATTAATAATACTTTACTTGTATTACCAATTAGTAAAATCTGCTTTTTATTGCGTTCTGTCTGATCCTCAGATTAATTGGTAAATTTTATATATATAAAATAAAAAACTGCTGGTTATAAGTAAATGTTAGAAGAGACGTATAACATTTACTTAGAAACCGCAGTATTATATGGCCAGACATTGTGATGCAGGTATATTTTTTAGTTTACTGCATGCAGGCAAGCCATGCAAAGAAAAGAAAGAATCCACAAACACTTAACACACAATCACATACACGTACACACACATTCATATAAAATGTAAACTCACAGATACAAAGCCAGTTTGTTGATACATAGACGCAGCGCGCTGGCCGCTGCGGCCCGCGGTGCGACGAGGTAAGTTGAGTAGGAAAGTAAAGTAAGTAGGTAGGTCCGCTTACCTGCACAAATCAGCAGCAAAATAAACGGTGAAAGCAGCCGGCTGGCATCCATGTTGACAGAAGAGACTTTCTCAACAATTTAATTCACTTCCAAACTAATATTATGCGCCCATCTTACAACCATATTTTTATGTAGTGTTTAAATCCAACTTCGTCTCTTCGTTTATCCACACTTGAGCACTTTACTTAAAACGATGTTTTTACAACACTATTTTGCTTGTAGTCACTTTTAAATTCACTTGAAAACTCTTGTCACATCACCGGAAAACTGTTTTCCTTATATTACAGAGAAAACTTTGGCGCGTATTTTTCATACGAGTTTCGCGTCTCGGCAGCCAAGTCAACACGTCCCGTTCAAACGACCGTTGGGCCAAGGCTAAACAAGCGCAGCATTATTGTATGTATGTGTTAAGCACACAGCTTTACAAGGCAGACACACATAAGTACAAATGGCTTTGTAAGAAAGAGATGGCGATATATATTAGAGTGATATAGAAAATAAAGTTTCATTGCTTACCCCGGAACAGAGGCAACAACGCAAGGTACGAGTCTTGAACATTTGACGCTAGATGGCTGTTTTTGTGTTAAGAATTTTAATTATCTGTAGTTTCTTTGCTGTAATAAAATTGTAATACCATTTATATTATACAATATATTAAAATTTACATGTTTAGATATAATTTATAATAAGCAATGGATTATGAAGTTGAGAAAGATTAACTTAGTCCGTCTACTTTTTTTATTATTTTCGATAACTAGTAGGTACTACTACTTAGTACCTATAACTAGGTGTAGGTCTGTAGGCCTTACCTAGAACTTTTGTAGAACAAAATTATTATTAAAGTTATTACACTTTAATTATTATTTCATAATTATTTTACTTTCATTTTCCAAGTAAATTAAAAGCTTAATTAAGGAAATACAAAATTGACTGTAGATGTATTTAAATTATTTTGCATTCATTTCATGAAAATGGATAAACAAACAATTTTCGTTTTTAACAATGTTTACACATTCTTTGTCCCGCAAAACGGTTGTAAGCGTTTACCTACAAGCACGTAGTTCGCTCTTACTTAGGCACTAAGTAGGTACTAAGTAATATTATTTACAATATATTGTGTAACTAGCGATCAGTCTGGGCTTCGCAATTGCATTACAAATCTTTGAATTTCTCGGCTTACACTATAACACGCATGTAGTATTATTATACCCATAAACCTTCCCATCTATTATTGAAAAAATCCGTTGCGTAATTTAAAAGATATACCTACCTAAGCGAACAGAAAGCGGCGGGTACTCTGTTTAATATATATTTAATATACATATTATAATGGTCACATCGAAAAACGGTATTCTGCTTTTATAATAATTTTTGTATTTGTGTGTATATATACACAAATTATTATAAAAGCAGAATATTATGTTATTATTATGATATTACTAATAAGGTATGAAATAAAATATTGTTATTTTTATATTACTTAGTTAAATTTCTAGATTAGTTTCTATTTTAGTATTAAAGTATTTTTTTTATAATTTGTACAAAAAGATTTCTGTCTATTAAAATCTTAAGCAATTTTCTTAATAATTATTTTGATATAAATGCGGAGTGTCAAATATCCATTGAGCATATTTCCCAGTCGTAATATTATGGCTTGTCTTCGTCATATGGTACCTATTGCTTGCTGTGGTTTTTAATAGTATCTTTATAGTTTCTTTCCCTATAATTAATAAAAATGATATAGATTATATAAATAAAAAGTGTTACCATAACGTTCAAGACCATATCCAATCATAGAATCAATTTAAAGCTTCAATACACTTTATATACAAACACTTCAATATTCGCGTTGGGTACTTTAAATTGCAAATTATAGCATTACATTTTATTAGAAACAAAGTCATTAATTCCTTGAGTTTATGTCAAATGTTAATTATACTTTACGGATACAAAAATAAAAATTTACAATTATTCAACAAATACAGTCGATACCAAATTAGTTACCACTCTGCTTTGTGTCTACGTATTGTATTTTAGTGTACGGAAACTAAACTTTTTTGGAGTGTCTGAAACTTTTGAATTTACACCAAGGTAACTGGTAACAGCAGTCCTCGCTCGCATGTTCATTTCTCTTGTATTTCAAAGTTACCTAAAGTTTCATGCTTAATACAAAAGGAAACTAGGTATAACTGAGCAACGAAATAATAACTACCTCCCTATTTTGCTTTTAGTGTCATATTTCGCATATATCCACTATTTTAGACCAACTTCATAAAGACAGGTATCTGAATTTAAGGGGGTATTCTTGTGGAAAAACATTTTCGATGTTTAGACATTCAAGAATTCTGGTATGTCTAAAGATCAAATTTTTTTTCATGCTTCCAAATTAGAAAAAACAAGCTTTCGATTTTTTCTACATTCTACACTAGAATTAAAAAAAAATCGTAATCGTTTTTATATAGAAGATATAGCCCTATGTCCGTCTTTGCGATAAAATCTATCTTCAAATCAAATTTAATTAACATCTGTAAACTGAAACATACAAAATTTTTTAATATATAATATTAGTATGGAAGTATTTTTTATGGTATTTTATTTTATATAATCTAATCTTAAAGCTACTTTTAGAAATGTTATCTGAAGTGTTGTAGTTTTACTTATATTTTTTTGGAGAACTGTTGTATCTATTGAATTGTGTTCCTCTATCTTTATTATTAAAGCATGGTATTGAAAGATTTCCCTGGAGCATGTATAAAGGTGCAAAGTACCTATAGTATAGGAATTAGATTTCGAACTACGAATAACATTCGCAGCCTACGAAATTATTTGCGGCATATGTATGCCATGTAATGCGTATATTATATTTTCTTATATATAAAATTCTCGTGTCACAATATCCTACTCCTCTCAAATGGCTTGATGGATTTTTATTAAATTTTATATGCATATTCAGTAAGTCTGGGAATCCGCTACTATCTATTTTTCATTTTATTTTTCATTTCATTATATCACTTAGGGGTAAGTGGTAAGGGATTTCCACCCCTAAATATATATTATTTATTTTTTCGACATACTATTTTATTTGCACTTTAGTGTTATTTAGGATTGAGAAATCCATACAACCCTAAAATTTCACCCTTCTAGTATCAACCCCTATTTTTTAATAGCGATTTTAATTTATGTGGCAAACAACGTTTGCCGGGACAGCTGGTATATTTATGAAACTTATTTTTTAAATCACAGTGTAGTGATAATGATTGCAATAGTTTAGTTGTTATTCATGACCAGCGTAGAATTGGGCGGAAGCGGATAGTTAGTAATGTAGACTAATAACCCCCTTGCTAGGGATGACAGGATGACCTCCACGTGGTTCCCCTGGAAACCATAGGCATAATAACCATGGGCTAAGTGTCCTGACCTCATGCTCATCTTACCATCCTCCACTCGCGCCCCGCTAGCTTACACCATTAGCGCAGGCTGGTGCATCATTCCATTATCATTTATTAAAAAAAACCAACGCTGAATTAGAATACAGTATTGTTGCATATACTAATTAACACACTGATACAGCCGTAGCCATGACACGCGGTATTAAATTGCGGAAATAAATAACTTCGGACAGAGGTATAGTGTGAAATTACAGAGGACAAAGATATACGTGTGTTGAAGCTTGGCCGTATTTGCTAATTCAGATTGACTAGAATATATTCTCGATAATATCACTATTATTTTTTTTAATTTACACTAATTTATACAAAAACAAAATATAATTATCAAGCCGCAGTAGTTGCTCTTACTTAGGCATTAAGTAACATTATTTACAATATATTGTATAACTAGCGACCCGACCAGGCTTCGCATGGATGCTCCATATATTCTATGAAATTATTATGATATTACTTATAAGTATGAAACAAAAAATTTGTGTATTTGTTAAATTTCTAGGTCATTTTCTATGTTATTAAAAATACTTTAATAAAGTACTTTTTCCAACAAATATAAATATTTAAATCTATTAAAATTTTAGGCAATATTGATTGTAACAATCTAAGTATATCAGTAATAATTATTTAGATATAAATATTGGGTGTCAAATTTCCATTGAGCAATAAGCATACTCGTATTTCCCAATCCGTATCTACTAATTTATACAAAAACAAAATATAACCATCAAGTCGCAAAATTGCTCTGCAGTTTGTCTGCAGCAAAAGCGCTTAACTTAATACTAGTTTATAAATGTGCATGTGTGTATGTAACACATATATATGTGTTACATACACACATTACTGTAGAACCAAGTATCTTATGCTCAATATAGCCTAATATTTGTTTTCTTTGTTATTAAAGACATCTCCAGAGTTTCAAGCGTACATAGGTTACCGGTTACCATCTGATGAGCCGTATGCACGTTTGCCACCGTCTTAGTATAAAAAAAGATGGCTGCCACATGTCGCACTTCAACTCTGGTTCAACTCTGGTTTCTACATAACTTACTAAGATAGCTTGGCCTCGTGAAATAGGTGAGACAAACGTACACACATAGATAACTTTGTACAAATTCTAATCTTCTTTGGTATTACAGTAAATTGTAAATTGCAACAATAAAGACCCTTATAACATGTTTTTAAGTATTTATTAAATTAATTTCTGTCTTACCTACATTCTGAATTATATGTTCTTCTAAGAATCTTACTAAAGAAGTGGCGGTTGAAATTGCGGCAGATTACGGCAAAGACGTGTGACTCGCGTGTTAAGCTTAAGGAAAAAAATTACAAGACCATGATCCGGCCTGCAGTCAGAGTGCTAATCCGTAAAAGCGATGGATGAAAGACGACTGCAGGCAACTAAAATGCGAATGTTGAGGTGGATGTGTGGTGTAACAAGAATGGATAAGATAAAGAATGAATACATTAGAGGAAGTATGTGTGGCGCCGGTTTCGGAGAGGTTGAACAGTAATTGTCTGTCGTGGTATGAACATGTTACACATTACATGAAGGTGAATGAAGATAATATTTTATGGAAGGTGTTACATATGAATGTTAATGATTATAAAGGCAGAGGAGGGCTGAAAAAGAGATGGATGGACTGTGTGAAAGATGATATGGTAAGAAAGGAAGTAAATAACGAGATGACTGCTAACAGGGATGAATGAAAGAGAAAAACATATTACGCCGACCCCAAATAAATGGGATAAGGAAGAAGCTGATAATGATGATGATAAGAATCTTACTAATATCACAGATAACATAATATTACGTACTAATATTAACGTGGAACTTAGTGAGTGTTGGAGGGATGGATAGTGTTTGTCACTCTTTCAGGCAAAAACTATTGAATAGATTTACAATAATATACATAGC